GCCGAGAGGCGAGCTGTCTGGCGCGCCAAGGTGGGAGAGGCGAAGGCGAAGTCGGCGCGTAGGGTTAGAACAAGCCTATCCCTCTACAGGAGGAATGCTCAGAAATAAGTTTAAAATCGTATGGGGGGCGATTCTTTGTTTTTTCTACCATCCAGGAGCATATTTGGGGTATGCTTGATTCTTCGTCCAACATCCCCCTGTAGGGGGGCATGCCCGACGTAAGCGTAGCGAGGAGGGGGAGGGCGCTCAGACGTGGAACGGTTCCCAAAAAAGACGCGCTGCGAACAAAAAATGCAACGAAGTTGGCATCGCTCGGACGTGTGCACGTTTGAGTTGCCGGTGAGGCCGGCGCCAGAAAATCTGAACCAGCTTGGAGCATTGTGGACCACCCCGAAAAACAACACGCGCGAACCCAAACAGCGCACGAGGAATGGGCGCCCGAGCGATGGCACAAAAGAAAGGCGCCTTCCGACCAGCAGGTGTCCGGTCCAGCGCAGATCGGAGACATCCGCGCGGACCTCCGACGGTTTATGTCCACGCAAGTCTTGTGCCCCTCGAGAAGACCACTCGATCAGCCACATGCTGGTCGGGAGGCGTGGAAGGTGGAGAGTCAGGGTGGACCTTCTGTAGGAGGCCCTCGCCGCCACGGATGAGTTCGCCTCCAGATTCCGGGCAGCACGCGCCCGGGGAGAGGTCGAGGGAGCAGCGGCATCGGTACCTTCTGCTCGAGGGGGAGAAGATGGCACAAACTAGGGGGCCACATGCGAACCCCCTACCCCCCACGATTTCTGAGGGGGAGGGTGGGGTCCACTTCGCTCGGGAGGTCCCGAACGAAGTGAACCCCACCCTCCCCTACAGAAATCGTGGGGGGTAGGGGCAGGGTTCGCATGTGGCCCCCAACAAACGCTAACTTTCGGGGCTCCGCGCGGTTTTTTGTTGGGTCTGCGCTGGAACATGGCGGCGGCTCCGGCGCCGCCCCTGGCGCGCTGCGCCAGGGAGGGTTCAGCGCTGCAGATCCAAGCAGTCCGCGTGGAGCTCTGAAAGTTTACGTTCCGGAACTTTGGCTCAGCGTGTCGCTCCGCTCGTTCTGGCCCAATACGTCGCGACACGCTTCCCACTTCCCGGTCACCGAGCATCAGCGACCTGAGCTGTTTCCCCGCCACCCGCCCCGCGGAGCAGAAAAACAGACGCCATCCTCCTGCAAGGCACAGCATCTCGCCCCGGCCACCGCCGTGACACCGCCGAGCAAATTTTCCTGACCGTAGAGGGGGAAGTGAAACGAAGCCAGGACGAGGAGAACGTCGGCTGAGGATCAACTGGGCCTCTCTGAGACCTGTCGGCTCTGGAAGACGTATCGGGCGCCGCGGCCTTCTGCGGGGGTTCCGGAACGCTCTGGGAGCCTTCCGGAAGGTTCTGGAACGGTCTTCCCCGTTCTGGGAGGAGCAGACGGGGTCGACGCGAGCGACGGGAGCAGCACGCGAGCACCCCTTGTGGGCGCCGCGGCCTTCTTCTGCAAGGGCTCCGGAACGCTCTGGGAGCCTCCCGTGACGCTCTGCAGCGGTCTTCTCCTCGCCGTGGCCCCGCTCTGAGAGGGGCAGACGGGGTCGACGCGAGCGACGGGAGAAGCTCGCTGGCACCCCTCGTGGGTGCCGCTGGGCCCCGCTCACGTCGTCCAGCTCCCCGCCCCTGACCTCCACGGGGTCGGCGCGGGAGCACGCCACCTGCCTCCAGTCGGAGGAGGAGGAGGAGGAGGAGGAGGAGGAGGAGCAGGAGGAGGAGCAGGGGCAGGAACAGGGGCAGGAGGAGGCCCAGGCATGCGCGGAGCTCCGCAAGGTTGTTTGTGTTTCCAGGCCTCCTCCCGCGGAGGAGGTGCGGCGCCGGGCCCGCCGCCGCGAGGACGCCGACGGCCCGCTGAGGCCCATCGTGCGGGGCCTCGTCGACGCCGCCCTGGCCATCGCGGCCGCCCAGGCGCCCCACGCGCAGCGCCTGGCCTACGTCGTCTTCCTCTACGGGGCCAAGTGGTCTCGGCTGCTGCCGCGCCTGTCCGCGCGCCTCCGGCAGCTGGGCATCGGGCACCCCCTGCTGGCGACCGGGGAAGGGAAGCTGCGTTGGCCATTCGACTAGACGTAAGAGTGACCTTTCGCCGGAGTGACCTTTGGTGCGGGCACAGATGGGCCCCCAGATGGCCGAAAACGAAGCAGCAGCAGCTGGTTGCGCGCCCAGATTTGGTCCCCCCGCGGCCCCCAAAAAGCCGCGCACCAAAGGTCACTCTTACCCAGGGTCACTCTTGCGTGCTGCCTTGGCCATGCGAGAGCTGGAGGTCGGCGCGGATTTCTTCGATGGGCGCTGGAGCCTCCTCGCCCTGTGCCCCCCTTGTGGCGCCTCCGGCGCCGCCCCTGGGTCGCTCCGCGCGCCAGGGAGGGGGGCCCAGCGCTGTGCCAAGGTATTCCGCGAGGACCTCCGAGATTGTGCGCTTATGCAGCTGCTTCCTCTGCCAGGCGATCTCCATCGGCGCCGACGCGGCCGCGGCCTGCCGGGAGCTGTCGGCGGCGGGCGGGCGTGCCGGCCCGTCCAACGTGGTCTGCTGGGTGCCCGACACGCAGTCGCAGGTCCACCGCTTTACGGCCATACATGCGCTTCTGCACCTGGGCATCTCGGAGGAGGGCCAGTTGAGACAACGGAAGCTGGCCTTCGGGGGTCCCCCTCGTCGCCACGGCTGGGCACAGCTCGGAAAACTGGTGTGCGGTAGGGCCCCAGGAGGGGTCCGAGGATCGATTTTGAGCTGCCGTTGTCTTCACTCGCCCTGCTCCGAGCATCGGCGCGATCTACATGGACATGGACACCTTCCTGCTCCGCGACCCCACTCCGCGCATCATGGCCCATGCGGAGGGCCTAGACGCGGTGTTCGCGCGGCACGCCGACGCGGACTGCATCAACATCGGCGTGTTCTTCATAAGAAGCACCCCGAAGACGGCGGTGCGGCTTCCCCTCGAAGACATGAAATGACCATCACCACAACATTGGAAAGCTCCGCACGGAAGCTCTTGGGTCGGCACTGGGCATCACCTCCCAGGCGCGCGCGGCGCCTCAGGAGCGGTGCCAGAGGCGCCGACGGGTAGGCCCAGCGCCGACCCAAGAGATCCCGCGCAAGCGCGGAGCTCCGAACGTTTAGTTACATGTGTGTATGTATATATGTGTAGGTGCGTTTTCTTTTTAATTTACGTTTAAAGAATATTTCCATCTGTGTTTGAATATTTCTATGTTTGTTTAATATATGTATGTGTAGTATGTGTCCTTTACATATAATTAGATATAAGCATGTGAGCTGTCCCCCCTCCAGGTGTGGCTCTCCCAGTTCCTGGCGTGGTACCACGACCACCCCTTCGAGATCGACCAGCGCGGGCTCCACGTGTTCCTGGGCCTGCCCTCCGAGAGGATGCAGATCGCGTACCCCCCCGCCGACCTCGTGGCGGTCAGGGGCGGGGTGCTGGACGACGTGAACGAGGTTCTTCTCCTCCTCCTCCTCCTCCTCCTCCGTCCCTCTCCTGTCTGTCGTGTCTTGCGCTTCTCTCCCGGCTGTTCTGTCTTTCTTTGTCAATGGAGGAACATTTTCTCGACTCGACAACCCTGACAGGCGCTTGCGAAAACAGCCCTTGGCGTTCACTAGACAGCCCTGCCCACGTTCGATTCATTGCTTGGGTGCACTTGGTGAATGGATTTGCCTGTCGGGGTGCTTATTAGTATGTCTGTGGTGCTTCTGCTCTCTGGATGCCCCCCCTCGAACACAGAATCGAATATCCCGTCGCCGCATCGTAGGCAGTTGCTGAAGTCCCCCATGGACAGCATATCGCCCAGGATGCTTTCATACAGGTAACCCTCACAGCAAGGATGGGCAACCTTCCCAAGGGTCCTTGCATCCTTGCCTCCTCGGCTCATCCTTGGCCACGTTCGTTGGCCGCGCCCCGCTCGCAAAGCTTCGAAACGGGTGACCAAGGCCCTCCCCGACATGCGACGTCCTGTTTTTTCAGAGCGGGGTCCCTGGAAGTCCCGACCCTTTCCCCAGAACCGCATTTTCATTCTGAGTCGTTTTCTGATGCTCCCGAGGCCCTGTAGGGGCGCCTGGAGGCCGAAAACGGCCCAAAGCCTGTCTTTTTTTTCATAAAGGGGAACGAGCAATGACACAAACATGAAAGCTCGGAGGTCCGCGCGGATTTCTCGGATCGGCGCTGGACCCCCCTCCCTGGCGCGCGGAGCGCGCCAGGGGCGGCTCGGGAGGCGCCGCCAGCGGGGTCCAGCGCCGATCCGAGAAATCCGCGCGGACCTCCCAGTTTTTATGTTTAACGCGATCATGTCTGGGCTTAAAATGTTCCCATGGTACTGAAGGACAACATCCCAGAAATAATTTCGAGCACCCAGAGAAGAATGGAATTAGTGTCGAACGAGTATCGCCTCCCAGGGTCCGACACGTGAAAACCCTCCAGTCTCGGTACTCTCGTGGTGTGCGAAAATGATTTCTGATGGTCAAGGCTAGAGTAGGTTGGAACATCATATATCCGGGCTTCTCAGAAGCACCCCTGCTTCTTAGAAGGCGCGGGCCGTCTCTATAGATGCAAGGCCGGCGCCTTCTAAGAAGCAGCCCCCTTCTGAGAAGCTCTCCCCCCTCCCCGCACCCCCCCTCTGCGCGCCGCCAAGTCTGGGCCGGCATCCTCCTCGCGCTCTTCTGGAGAGCAGTTGGCCCCTCCTCCTCCCTCCTCCGCCTCCTCACCTCCTCCTCTCCTCTGCTCCTCCTCCTCTCCTGCCTGCGCGCTCTGTCGCTCCTGCTCGCTCCTGTCCGCTCCTCCCCTCATCCCCTCCTCCTCCCCCTCCTCCTCCTACTCCTCCTCCTCCTCCTCGCTCCTCCATCCCCTCCTCATGCTCCTCCTCCTCCTCTCTTCCTCCTCCTCCTCCTCCCTCCCTCCTCCTCTCCTCCCTCTCCTCCTCCTCCTCCTCCTCCTCCTCCTCCTCGCCGCCGCCGCCGCCGCCGCCGCCGCCGCCGCCGCGGCGGGCGCTCGCGGACCGCTCTTGGCAGCCTCGCCTCGCTCCCCTCGGCTGAAGGTCGGGTATAGCCAGGACCCCAGGGATCCAACGCATTGAACACATCGAAACGAAGTTTTCCACACTTTTCGGCCTCTAGGGGCCCTCGCCGGGCCCTGGGACCGTCAAAAAACGACTCTGGATGAAAAACTGGTCCTGGGGAATGGGTCGACCCTTCCCAGGACCCCGCATTGAAAAAATCACGACGTCGGATCTCTGGGCACCTATCAGGTATAGCCAGGACCCCGGGTAAGGGGACCCCGTTAGTGGTAGGGTCTGGGGGCCCCGAAACTGGCCAGAGTCACGAAACCAGGTTTGCCGTACCTGGCGTTTTGCGGGTGACGGCAGTTCCGGTTAGCGGAAATGGGGCGGGGTGGCGCGCCCCCGGTACAGATCATTAAACCAAGTTCCACTAAACCCAGTTCTACCAACGCCCGATTAAAGTCGGGCTTGTCCCTCTACAGGAGGAGTATTCAAAGCTAGCCGAAAAAGAGTCTGGGGGCGGTTGCCAGACTATCTTCGACCGTCTGGGAGCATGTTGGGGGTCTTCTTTTTCTGTTTCGTCCAAGATCCCCCTGTAGGGGGACAGGCGCGACTTAATTCCAGGCCTCCTAGATGTGGTCGGAGTAGATGGAGTCGGAGGATCGCGCCGCATCGCCGATGCAGTGTCGACGCCGCCGATGTATCGCCGACGTCGGCGAGGCACCGCCGGTGCATCGCCGATGCATCGCCGATGTTGCGCTGATGCATCGCCGATGTACCGGCGATGCTGCGCGATCCTCCGACCACATCTACTCCGACCCCATCTTGGCAGCCTCGCTTCGCTCCGCCACCGGGGGGGGATGGCGCGAGGGGGGAGGCCTTCTAAGCACCGTCGAAGATCAGGCGATCTCAAACATAGGGGGCGTGCATTAGCGACGGGTCCCGCTTCCATGGGAAATCGCGGACTTCCGCCGCCGAGCGAGGCGGCACCGGCCGCATTTTGGGGAGGGCGCCTTCCCCGATCCATGTATGCGCGCCCCCGAGAAGAAGAGCAACAACGACATGAACATGAACTTTGGACATAAGAGACAAATAATGCATGAACTTTGGACCTAAACACAGTCGTCGAAGAAGAAATAATAACAAAAACGACAAACACGGCACAAATGACATAAACTACAAAGCGACAAAAACGGCATAAACGACATACAGTGGAGGCACATGCCACGAAACACTCTGCCTGCTGCCAGGGCGCCCCTGGGTTTCTGGGCTTGCGATGGTTTAGCGATGGGAGGCGTGACGTTCCCACACTAAACATCCATGGACGTCCTGGGGTCTCAGGGTTGGGTTTCTTGTGCAAGGTTCGTTGTGGTCGGGCCCCTGCCGTGATTATAAACTTTTTGCGCTCCGCGCGGGTTTCTTGGATCCGCGCTGGGGCCGCCCCTGGCGTACTCCGCGCGCCAGGGAGGGGGGTCCACTGCAGATCCAAGGAGATTCGCGCGGAGCGCCAAGAGTTTATGTTTATGAGTATTTGTTCTCTTCTGAAGAAGGCGGGGCGGAGGCGTCCAAGAAGACATGCGGCCTCTCGGAAGCCGTCATGGATGGTTGCCTGGAGGCCTTCTTGGAAGCCTCCAGGGCCTTCTAAGAAGGCCCCTGCCTTCTGAGAAGTCCCCTCGCCTCATTAGATGCCCCCTCGCCTAATTAGAAGCCCGAGCTCCTCGCGCGGCCCCCGCGTGGGCGCCGCCGAGAGGTCGTCATCGGCACCGTTGGCTGGTATGGCTCCCACGCCAGCCTGCTCATCATGCACTGGTGCCAGAGGCTCAGGGGCCAGACGGCGTGAACCCTCGAGTTTCGAGGTTTTCTCGCGTCTTCGCCCGTTCTCGGCGGCTTTCCAGCCGCGGGACGCCTTCCAACGGTTGTGCCTCGCCTGGACGGCTCCGGGGGTGCCCGAATCATCCCGAACGTCCTCCGGAGAGCCGAGTCTTGACCCGAAACCAGGGGGCAACGGCAGGAGGGGAGAGGCCCAGGGAGGGGTGCATCGACCCCCCGATCGCCGAGTAATCGCCCCTAGGGGGCATGGTAGCACTCCTCCTCCTGCTCCTCCTCCTCCTGCTCCTCCTCCTCCTGCTCCTGCTCCTCCTCCTCCTCCTCCTCCTCCTCCTCCTCCTCCTCCTCCTCCTCCTCCTCCCCCTCCTCCTCCTCCTCTCCTCCTCCTCCTCCTCTCCTCCTCCTCCTCCTCCTCCTCCTCCTCCTCCTCCTCCTCCTCCTCCACCTCCACCCCGCTTGCTCAGGAACGTGTGGACACGCTATCGGGGGCCGAGCGCCGCTCCGTTCACGAGGCGCCGCTGCAGTCGGCCCAGATCCGTAGGTCGACGCTGCCAGATCAAGGGTACCCGCCGGTCGTTGAACGTAGGTATTCCAGGATTTCCAGATCCCAATCTGCTTCAAGCGCCTTCCTACTTCAAGAGTCGACATGCTTTTGCTGTGCTCTGTTATTCTCTGGGAGGACCTGAACCCAATCTACTTGATCCTCCTTCCTGCTTCATGTTTTTACCTACTTCTTCCGACCGGCGTGTACCCTCGTGTCCTGTGCCTCGCGACACGTGCCTTCTTACCCTCCTGTGGCGATGCGGCCCTCGGAAGGGTCTTGTGTCCTCTCTCGTGTCCTGCCCAATGTTGTCCGACTGTGATTCCAAGTCGATGCCCCCGCCCCCTGAGCCAGTCCCCCTGATCGTTCCCCCTAAAAGGAGGGGGGAACGGGCTGAAGGTCAGGTCGGGCGAACCCCGTGGGGGGGGGAGGAGGAGGAGGAGGAGGAGGAGGAGGAGGAGGAGGGGGAGGAGGAGGAGGAGGAGGAGGAGGAGGAGGAGGAGGGTGGGAAAGGATGGGGTCACGAAGTCTGCTGCGTGCAGCTGGTTTCGGCCCGAGGGGTGCCGCAAGAACCAGCTGCGGGCGCCGATTCGACAGCCCTCCCCTGTGTCACGCGCCTCAGTTGCCCCTCGGAGGCCCAGAGAGCCCATCCCTCTCGCTGCCCTTCCCCAGACCCCTGGCGTCGTGCATGGATCTAGCGCGAGCCCCTGGAGGTCTCGACCCATTCCCCAGGACCAGCTTTCCATCCCGAGTCGATTATTTGGGGGAAAGGGTAAGACTCGAGTAAGCCGGAACTCGGGTTTGCGGACGTTTTTTGACGGGCGCGTCCTGGACTTGGACGGTCCAGTTTCCGTGGGATGTTTGCAGCGGGAGTTTGCGTCAAATTTCAAATTGGGTCTTGTCCTTTTTAGGATGGCCCCGACAGGCCAATCCGAGTCCCCCGTACCCGAGGCGTGCGTCTCCCCGACGTTGGGCAGGCGGCCTCCTGCCTCAAAGGGACCACGTTGACGGCGACACCAGCAGCTAGCAAGCCCCGGTCACAATGGACGGGACCTGCGGTCGGTCTTCGTACCCATTCTCTCCGTGCCCATGAGCCTGTTGTTTTTCTCCTCCTTAAGGTTTGGGCGAGAACGCGGAGAGAGGGAGAGAGGGAGGGAGAGAGGGAGGGGAGAGGGTGGGGGGGATCGACGGGGAGGAGGGAGGAGGGGAAGGAGGCCAGGGGAGAGGGAGGGGGGGGGGGGAGGAGGAGGAGGAGGAGGAGGAGGAGGAGGAGGAGGAGGAGGAGGAGGAGGAGGAGGAGGAGGAGGAGGATGAGGGAGGAGGAGGAGGAGGAGGAGGTGCGATGATCGGTCCCCCTTGCCCGAGTCTTGCGTCTCCCCCACCCTCGACGGTGCGAAGGCCCAGGCGAGGCCCCACAGAGGCCGGCAACAGTGATCAAAGAGAGCAGCTGTGCGTGGTGAGTTCTGCACGGCGCGGGGAGGCCTCGAATTCCGTTCCAAGAGGGTCCCGGGAGCCCTTGCTGAGGCTAAGTCGGGCCTGTCCCTCCACAGGAGGAAAAATTCCACATGAGTCAAAACATAGTCAGGGGACGAACTTCTTTTATTGTTTAACCCTTTTTGCAGTTCTGCACGGCGCGGGGAGGCCTCGAATTCCTTTCAAAGAGGGTCCCGGGAGCCCTTGCTGAGGCTAAGTCGGGCCTGTCCCTCTACAGGAGGACAGATTCCACACGAGTCAAAACGTAGTCAGGGGGCGATTTTCTTTTGTTGTCTGACCATTTGGGAGTATGTAGGGGGACATGTCCAAACGCAACAGTTTTGGAAGCTGCGTCCACCCGTGGCGACGAGGAGGGCCCCCAGAGCCCAACCCGCCTCGGACCTCGAACCTCGATGCTCGAGTCTCGAGCCTCGAACCTCGATCCTCAGAGGCCAGCTGAGCAGGAGGAGGAGGAGGAGGAGGTGGAGGAGGAAGAGGAAGAGGAGGAGGAGGAGGAGAAGGAGGAGGAGGAGGAGGAGGATGAGGAGGAAGAGGGGGAGGAGGAGGAACAAGACCGAGGACAGGGGGGGTTGGAACAGAGGCCCATCGAGCAGAAGGAGGAGGAGATCTGGGCCGCGTACGACGCCGCCGACGCCGCAGACGAACACGGCATGGCGCTGGCGCCGGCGCTGGCCGCCGCCTCGCCGGCTCGCAGCGGCCACGGGTGCACGATCGATACGGTGCATTGCGCGGTGCAGTCGACCAGCTGGGCGAAGGTGCATTGGAGGAGGAGGAGGAGGAGGAGGAGGAGGAGGAGGCAAACAGAGGAGGAGGAGGAGGGCCGAGAAGAGAGGGGGAATAAGGAGGAAGAGGATGACCGAGGAGAGAGGGGGAAGGACGGGGAGGAAAAGGAGGAGGAGGATGCGGATTCATGATGATGATGATGATGATGGTGATGATGATGATGATGCTGATGATGATGATGATGCTGATGCTGATGCTGATGCTGTTGCTGATGATGCCGATGATTTTGATGATGATGATGCTGATGATGATGATGATGATGCTGATGCTGATGCTCATTATGATGCTGATGCTGCTGATGATGCTGATGGTGACAAGGAGGATGAGGATGAGGATGAGGATACTGATGATGATGATGGTGATGGTGATGCTGATGGTGATGATGATGATGCTGAGGATGAGCATGATGATGATGATGATGCTGATGCTGATGATGATGATGATGAGGATGGTGCTTCTGATGATGATGCTGATGATGATGATGCTAACGGTGATGGTGCTGATACTGCTTATGATGAGGCTGGTGATGACGATGCTGATGCAGCTGATGATGATGATGATGATGATGATGATCATGATGATGATGCTGCTGATGATGCTGATGATGATGATGATGCTAACGGTGATGGTGCTGATACTGCTTATGATGATGCTGATGATGACGATGCTGATGCAGCTGATGATGATGATGATGATGATGATGATGATGATGATGATGATGATGATGATGATGATGATGATGATGATGATGATGATGATGAGCCTGCTGCTGATTGATGATGAGAGGATGATGACGAGGGATGCTGATGCTGATGATGATGATGATGCTGATGATGATGATGATGATGATGATGATGATGATGATGATGATGTGATGAGATGGATGATGGATGATATTGTGATTGTGATGATGATGACGATGATGCTGATGTGAGGAGGAGGATGGGGGAGGAGGAGAGGAAGAGGAGGAGGAGGAGGAGGAGTGAGGAGGAGGAGGAGGAGGAGGGGAGGGGGACCGAGGAGGAGGCAAACGGAGGAGGAGGATGAGGAGGAGGAGAGGAGGAGGAGGAGGGAGGGAGGAGACCGAGGAGGGAGGGGAAAGGAGGAGGAGGAGAAGGAGGAGAAGGAGGGGGACCGAGGAGGGAGGGGAAAGTAGGAGGAGGAGGAGGAGGAGGAGGAGGAGGAGGAGGAGGACTGGGCCCCAGATGAAAAACCGGGTCCTGGGGAATGGGTCGACCCTTCCAGGGACCCCGCATTGAACAAATCACGACATCGGATCTCTGGGAAGTTCCGTTCTCCCAGAGTTATGATGCTCCAACCTACTTTAGCCTTGGCCACCAGAAGAGTTTCGAGCACCATGAAGGTACCCTGGACTTGAAGGTTTGCACGTGTCGGGCCCTGAGAGGCGATACTCGCTCGACACCGTTTCGATATTCTCCTGGGTGCTCGAAATGATTTCTGGGATGTGGTCCTCAAGTATGATGGGGGCAACCTAACCCCAGAGGAGGATACAGCTGGCACGGGGGTGCACGGCTGTGGAGGGGTAGGTACCCTTCTGTTCTTGGTGAGGACTGGGAGACGGAGGAGGAGGAGGAGGAGGAGGAGGAGGAGGAGGAGGAGGAGGAGGAGGAGGAGGGGGGCCCGAGGATCGAGGCGCCGAGGATCCAGGATCAGTGTTCGAGGATCGATGCTTTCAATGGGTGGGGGGGGATGGAGGAGGGAACCATGGAGCAAAGGAGGACATACCCCGTGCGAGCTGAGGGTTGGTTGAGGGAAGCCCCCCCCCGTCTGAGGCAGCGAGAGCCACCCAGCCCCCCTTGAACGAGGCCACGCGCCCTGCCCCGTCCGGTGAAGCATAACGCCGGCTGCGGAGGGGTAACCCCCCTTCTGCTCTTGGTGCCTCCAGGGGGCCCGGGGTGGAGGAGGAAGCGGAGGAGGAGGAGGAGGAGGAGGAGGAGGTAGGGAGGCAGGCGGAGGAGGAGGGGAGGAGGAGAGGAGAGGGAAGGAGGAGGAGAGAGAGCAGGAGGAGGAGGCGGAGGAGCAGGAGGAGGGGGAGGAGGAGGGGAGGAGGAGGAGGAGGCGGAGTGAGGAGAGGAGGAGGAGGAGGGGGAGGAGGAGGGGAGAGATGAGATGAGATGAGAGCAGTCGCGCAACGAGTGTATATACATTAAGCCCTGGCCGCGGGAGGAGGAGGAGGGAGGAGGAGGAGGAGGAGGAGGAGAAAGGGAGGAGGAGGAGGAGGAGGAGGAGGAGTGAGGAGGAGGGAAAGGAGGAGGAGGAGGAGGAGGAGGAGGAGGAGGAGGGGAGGGAAAGGAGGGGGCGGGTGGAGAGCAGGAGGGGGAGGGGCGGAGGAGCAGGAGGAGGAGAGGAGAGCAGGGAGAGGAGGAGGAGGAGGAGGAGGGGAGGAGGAGGGAGGAGGAGGCGGAGGACGGGGGAGGGAGGAGGTGATGAGAGAGATGAGATGAGAGCAGTCGCGAACGAGGTATATACATTAAGCCCTGGCCCGCGGGAGGAGAGGAGGAGGAGGAGGAGGAGGAGGAAAGGAGGAGGAGGAAAGGGAGGAGGAGGAGGAGGAGGAGGAGGAGAGGTGAGAAGAGGAGGAGGAGGAGGAGGAGGAGGAGGGGAGCGGAGGAGGAGGAGGAGGAGGAGGAGGAGGAGGGGAGGATGTGAGGGGAGGAGTGGCGAGGAGGAGGGGGAGGAGGAGGAGGAGAGGAGGGAGGGGGAGGAGGAGGTGATGAGATGAGATGGGTTGTGTAGCAAGCGCCGAACGAGTGTATATATACATTAAGCCCTCGCCGCGGGAGGAGGAGGAGGAGGACGAGGAGGAGGAGGAGGAGGAAAGGGAGGAGGAGGAAGAGGAGGAGGAAGAGGAGGAGGAGGAGGAGGAGGGGGGGCTCGCGGATCGAGGCGCTAAGGATCGAGGATCCGTGTTTTGTGGATCGATGCTTCGATGGGGGGGGGATGGAGGAGGGAACGATGGAGCAAAGGGGGACACTTCGGAATGCGTCTCCTCGTGCCTTCGGCGAAGGGGCTGGTGCCTCGCATCCGCGTCACACACCAGTCGTGGAAAGTAGACCTGTGTGGATATCCAGGTCCCGATTCACTTCAAGCGCCGCTCTACTTCAAGAATCGTTCATATGCTGCTGTGTTTGTGATTCTCCAGCTGGCGCGGCCCCAGTCTACTTCATCCGCCTCCTTCTTGTGAAGGCCTGACGGCCGGTGCCGCCGACCCTGAAGGACATCGACGACGACCATAATGGGGGAGGAGGAGGAGGAGGAGGAGGACGAGGACGAGGACGAGGACGAGGACGAGGACGAGGAGGAGAGGAGGAGGAGGAGGAGGAGGAGGAGGAGGAGGAGGAGGAGGAGGCGGAGGAGGAGGAGGAGGAGGAGGAGGAGGCGGAGGAGGAGGAGGAGGCGGAGATAAGGAGGAGGAGGAGAAGGAGGAGGACAAGGACTCCCCCCTGGCCCCCCCGCCCCCCGCCTTCCTATTTTCATGCTCCCACCTGCTTGCTGTACTTGGCGGGTGCCGTGGCCACGCTGCAGAACACGTGGCGGGCAGGCAGTGGCTGCGGTCGGGGCCTCCCGCTCGGCGGATCGCGCGGGCGGCTTCTGGTCCACCCCGCTTTGGCGCGACGAGCTGGCCGCTTTCCCGCTGTCGAGCGCCAACTTCCCGAGCGTGAAGTCGGGCCTGCGTAAGTCGGGCCTGTGCCTCTACAGGAGGAGTGTTCAAACGCAGTTTAAATACAAATCGTCTGGGGACGACGTTTTCACCATTCGAGACTATTGGGGAGTTTGTCCTTACTATCTGTTTATGCTTCGTGCGACTTCACCCGGGCCTCACCGAGTCTCCAGCCTCGCGGAGCGGAGCGAAGCGCTGGCCGCCTGCGGGGCCTGGCGGGGCGCTTGGCCCTTCCGCCGCGACGCGCCAAGCCCAGGAGGGGACAACAAGCACAGAGACCCAGTGCATCGTCGACGCCCAGGCGAGTATTGGGGAAGTATGGGAGGTGGGGCGGTGAGGACGAAAACCCAGAAGACATGGGAAGGCATGGAGGGGACAAAAAGCACAGGGACACAATGCATCGTCGACGCCCAGGCGAGCATGGGGAAAGATGGGAGGGGGGGGGTGAAGACGAAAACCCAGAAAAAACATGGGGAGGCATGGAGAATCCTGGGATGGGTGCCCATCTCTTTGCGCGTGTCCCGGAGAGCCCCTTCGCCCGCCCCCCGCCCCAGACCTCCGGGGCCATGACCTCTCGTCCGAGCGGTGGGCCCCTGGAGTGAAGTCGGGCCCCTCCACAGGGGGAATATTCAAAGATAGCAAAAAAATAGTCTGGGGACTATTTTAGTGTTTTTTTTTTGCCATTTCTGAATATCGCTTAGAATTTTTGTTAGAACCAAAAAATCGTCGAACATCCCCCCGTAGGGGACACGCCCGACTTAACCCTAGATGTCTCGACCCGTTTTCCCCAGGACCCGCTCCTCACCCTGAGCTTTTCTCTTCAGGAGGGGAAAGGAACACACAGACAAAATGAAGCGTCGACTCCCAGGAACACATGAGAAGATATGGGAAGTGGGGGGGGGAGACGCAAACCCAGAAAGCATTGGGAAACATGGGGAATCCTGGGATGTGTGTGTGTATTTCTCCGTGTGTCCCTGGGCCCCTTCATCTTTGACGTACGCGAGGGCGTCTACAAATCATTCTGCTTCGAGCGATCCCCCATCGGAACCTCCAGCGCCTGTTCCCGCCGGCGCCCGGTCGCCTCCATTGGAGAGACGCTGCGCGCGGGGGGCCCGGAGGTCTCGGCCCACATCCCAGGTTCGGTTTTCCGTTTTTCTCCCTGAGCCTTATGATGTCCTCATCCCCCTCCTCCTCCTCCTCCTCCTCCTCCGCCTCCTCCTCCTCCTCCTCCGCCTCCTCCTCCTCCCTCGGCCCATATCCCAGGTTCGGTGTTTCGTTTTGCTCCCTGAGCCTTATGATGTTCCAGCCTATACTTTAGCCTTGACCACCAGAAAGAATTTCGCGCGCCAGAATCGGGCCCTGGGAGACACTGCTTCGACACTGCTTCGACGCTATTTCGACACCCTTTCGACACTTTTCCGGGTGCCCGAAATTATTTCTGGGATGTGGTCCTTAAGTACGATGGGAGCAACATAACCTGACCCGTTTTTTGACGGGCACGAGGGGGTCTACAACAAATGCAGCCTAGCTCCCGACCGCAGTGGAGGTGCAGAACCTGCGGGCCATCCTGGACTCGTACCGCCGGACCGCTCCTCCCATGCGCTCACCCTGCTGGTGAGCCATGCGGGTGCTCCGCGATGAGCTCCAAACGAGCCGATGCCTTCGACGACGACGTCGCCGCCTTTGCCATCGTCGTCTTCGACGACGTCGTCGTCGTCCTCGCCATCGTCGTCTTGGACGGCGACGTCATCGTTCTCGCCGTCGTCGACGGCGGCGGCTTCGGCGTCGGCGTCTCTTCGGCGTCGGTGTCGGCGTCTGCGAAGGTGTCGGCGTCGTCGTCGCAATCGTCGTCGACGTCGGTGTCGTTGTTGCTATCGTCGTCGTCGCCGGCATCGGATTCGGCGTCGGCGTCGACGTCGGCGTCGTCGTTGCTATCGTCGTCGGCATCGGCATCGGCGTCGGGTTTGGCGTCGGCGTCGGCGTCAGCGTCGTCGTTGTCGCCAACGTATCCGTCGTCGCCGTCGTCGCCGTCGACACCGACGTCCCCCGTCGCACGTCTCATGTTGCTGGTCCTTCTCCCCGTCCGCCTCGCAATCATTGTGCTCCTCCCGCTGGTCCGTCTCTCCCTCTCCATCCCCTCTCCCTCTCCGCCGGAACAAGAGTGGTTCCCACAAGCCACAGACGGCCTTGAAGGGATTGAGTTCTGAATTGGCCTTCTCGTTCTCTTCCACCCATCATCCCCATTCTGGTCCCCCATGTCTTCCTTCCCTCCCCGTCTTCTCCCATCATCCGCATCACACTGCTCTCCGTCCTTTTATATTTACCAGAGAAGCATACGGCGAACCGCCGCCGCCCCTTGCTTTTTGGAAACGCCTTTGCGGCCAGACGCTGAGCCGAAGCCTGGCCGAGCTATTAGACTACGTCTTCCCCTGGCCGTGGGAACCCCTGCAGGAACATTTGAGCGACGGAAGACAAAGGGCATGGCTGCGCGGACATACGCGCGTAAGCTTCCCGCGCAAGGTCGTGCGTAAGCACCGTCTTCCCCGCGCGGTGAACAACGAACCACGTTGGCGACCCGCGTGAGCGGCGGCGTAAGATTGCTACGGTTGGGCGTTCGCCAAGGAATGTGGCCAGGAGGCTCAAGAGCCTAGAGGATTCCTTGTGTGATCAGGGCGGCGGTGCTGTCCATGGCCAATTCACGATTGCAGATGCACTGGCTTCCAGACCCTGGCTCAGTTATTGTCAGGGGTTCTTTAGCCCATGCCCCCACCGTAGGTCTTCTCGCGCACGGCCTGTTTCCTCATCGCGCAATCATCAGGAGGGAACAAAACACATACAGACACAATGAACCGTCGATCCCCAGGAAGATATGCGGAAATATGGGAAGGGGGGCACGACGAAAATCAAAATACATATAAAACCGGTAGGCGATACTGGGATTCGTGTGGATATATTTGTGTGTTCCTGGGCCCATTCGAATTAAGGCAGACAGATCCCGCAGAGCGAGGCGCAGCGCGCAAGGCCCAGGCCCAAAGTCAGAGGGACCTGCGCTGCAGGACCGCGACGGCCCTGGAGGCAACCCTCGCGCCGCTCCTCCTCTTCCTCCTCCTCCTCCTCCCCCCCCCTCCTCCTCCTCCTCCTCCTCCCCTCCTCGCCTCCTCCCCTCCTTCGCTCCTCCACCTCCTCCTTCTCCTCCTCCTCACTCCTCTCCTCCTCCCTCCTCCTCCCATTATCCCCCCACCTCCTCCTCCTTCCTCCTCCTCCTCTCCTCCTACTCCCCCCCCCCTCCTCCTCCCCTCTCCTCCTCCTCTCCTCCACCTCCTCCTCCTCCTACCTCCTCCTCCACTCCTCCTCCTCCTCCTCCTCCCCCTCCTCCTCCTCCTCCTCCTCCCCCCTCCTCCTCCCTCCTCCCCCTCGCCCCATCCTCTCCCCTCCCCTCCCCCTCCTCCTCCTCCTCCTCCTCCTCCTCCTCCTCCTCCTCCTCCTCGAGCATTCAAGATTTCTCCGCCCCGGGGGCGGCCGGAGGTCCCGGAGGGCATCGGATCAGGCCTGCAGCAGGTCCGCCCCAGGCGGCCTCGAAGCGGTGGAGGCCGCACGGGGCCAGGACTCGTCAGACAGTGGCGAAGCGTCCTGGCTCGCCTACGGTAGAGTCGAAGTGCAACTCATCCAACCCACCGCCAACATTGATCATGGGGGGCATTGGCCGACCAGTGTGGCACGAGTGCTCGCTAACATCTTCCGACGCCAGTATCAGGCCTTCCAAATAATGTTCTAAGAAGAACCTTCTGTGGTCTGCAACGAAATATTCTTCAAACATTTCTGGCTGGGTCGTCTTGTTTTAGCACATCGGGTTTGCAGGCAGCCCGTACAGTAAGGATGGGCAGCCTTCCCAAGGGTACCCTTGCATCCTTGCCTCCTCGGTCCATCCTTCGCCATTTTCGCTGGCCGCGCCCCGCTCGGAAAACTTCGAAATGAGTTTCCAAGGTTCTTGCATCCTTTTCGCGCATCCTTACTATCCTGGTTGACTGTATCTTCTGAGAACATTTTTTTGTTCTCAGAACACGTCTGGGTTCTAAGAACGTTTCGTGGTATGCCGATGGAAATACCGGGACGGTCGGTCCCCGCTGAAAGGACGAGGATAAACTCGTTCCAGAGCTTCTGGAACGCTCTCAGAGCGTTCCCGAACGCTCTGAAAAGGCCGTGGCGCCCCAGACATCCTCCAGAGCCGCAGGATCTGAGAGGTTGTCGGCTTCGCCTCCTCTGAATTTGTCCTCGTCTGGGCTTCGTCTTAGGATCAAGTCGGGCCTGTCCCTCTACAGGAGGAACATTCGAAAATAGTAAACAAATACTCCGGGGACTATGTTTTGAATATTTTTTAACATTTTGGAGTATTTTTTAGTATTGCTTATTTTCCGTCAAAAATCTCCCTGTAGGGGGATACGCCCGACTTAAAATTTGTCCTCGTCTGGGCTTCGTCCTAGGAGGCCCTCCCCATCGGAAGGCAGGTCTGAGAGCCGCCCCGCGACGCGCGGCCCTCCCTGGCCTTCCCGGTCCCTCCTCCTTCTCTCCAGAGCCCCGACGTCCTCATTTTTCCATTGCGTCGGCCCCCAGAGGTCCCCAGAGATCCAACGCATTGAAAAATCGAGACGGAGGTTTTTCGCAAGCTTCGGCCTCTCGGGGCCCGCACCGGGCCCCGGGACCGTCAAAACACGACCCGGGATGAAAAACCGGCCCTGCATGGGGAAGGGGCCGACCCTTCCGGGGACCCCGCATGGGAGAAATCACGACATTTAGATCTCTGGGTCCCGACCCTGCCCCGCAGGACCGGCTCTGCCTCCCGAGTCCTCTCTTGGCGCTCCCGAGGCCCGGTGGGGGGCCCCCAGAGGCCGAACAAAATGGAGAAGCCTCCCCTCGTGATTGGGGGGTCACGTGCGACCCCTACCCCCCCCCCACGAAATCTGAGGGGGAGGATGGGGTTCACTTCGCTCGGGAGCTCCCAAACGAGGTGAACCCCGCCCTGCCCCTCAGAAATCGTGGGGGGGTAGGGGTGGGGTTCGCTTGTGGCCCCTCAGTTCGGCGCTCGCTCCCCCCGTGGACCAGCCTTCACCCTGAAGTGTTATCCTGGCACCCTGAGGAGGAGCAGGAGAAGGCGGAGGACGAGGAGGAAGAGGAGTGAGAGGAGTAAGGAGGAGGAGGAGGAGGAGGAGGAGGAGGAGGAGGAGGAGGATGAGGAGGAGGAGGAGGAGGAGAGGTGCCGTGCCTCGACGGGCCCCGGGGCCAGGCGGGGCCCCCCCGCCGGCGGCCGAGAGAACGCCCTGCCAGAGCCCTGCCGCCACCTCTGCCGCGCGGCCCCCAGGAGGGCCCTCCGTGCCCCGGGCGCCCCCTCCTCGAGACCTTCCAGGAGGAGGAGGAGGAGGGGAGGAGGAGGAGGAGGAGGAGGAGGAGGAGGAGGAGGAGGAGGAGGAGGAGAGGAGGACTTTTGTGCGACGCGGTCGTGTCCGGGTAGGGTTCCCCCCATCGCTGCCCCCGAAGCGCGCCCGGTGGGCGGCGCCAGAGGCGCCGGCAGGGGGGCCCAACCCCTGACCTTCCAGAGAGCTATTTTTTAGCACGGGAGGCCTACAAACCTAAAACAACGAAACGAAGCAGCCTGAGCCAAAGACGCAGAATAGCTCTGGGATGGGTTTTTAGGTCGCGCGCTATGTTCTAGCCCTCCTGGAAGGTCAGGGTCTCTGACGGGGCAGCGACAGGGAGCACCGTGCTGGCATGTGGCCTCCCGTCGTGCTGTTCTCGTGGCGCGGGGGGGGGGGTCTGGCCCTCGGGCCTCCCGGACCGCCCTCCCCGTCGCCGCGGCGCTGGAGCCGCATATATGCACGAGGGGGCGCCGGGAGAGGCCCCGGCGGAGGGGGTGCCCCGGAGCAGCTTGGAGCGGCTGCGGGCCGGGTGGGAGAGCCCCAGACCCCCTCGAGTCATGAAAAAATCACGACGGTAGGATTTTCATTATTTTTGGACCCTGGGGGCCCCTACCGGCCCTTGGGACCGTCAAAAAACGACTCAGGACGAAAAACCGGTCCTGGGGAATGGGTCCAGACCTCCGGGGGCCGACGTCATGAAAAAATCATGACGTCGGGGGTCTGGGGCCCGCGGTTGTGGCGCCGCCCTGTGGGGGAAGCGGGTCCCGAGGGGAGCCTCCACGGAACGCGAAAACGACCACAGCCACTGCTTTTCTTGTGTTGCCGCCTCCCAGCCAGCAGAAACAATCCAGTGGTTGTGGTCGTTTTCGTTGAGCTTGGCTCCAGAGAAATGACCGCACCAGGGAAATGGCCGGCTGGAAGGCGGCGCAAATAAGAAGCAGTGGCTGTGGTCATTTTCCCGTCCCGCCCCTTGTTATCGCGCGGTCGTGTACACTTTTTCTCCGGGAGATTCTTAAGGAGCATCCTGGATCATCCTGCGAAAAAAAAGCCACGCACGAAACCGACCAAAAAAACACAGGGAGTGGACGTCCGAGCCGAAAGAACGGGTCCTGAGGGGAACGGTCGGACCGAACGAAGGGGGGGGGGATAGGGAAAGGGGGGGGTGCGAAATCTGCTGCATGCAGCTGGTTTCGGCCCCGCCAAGGGG